TATTGTATAATTGTATATATATTTAAAAAAATGAATTTTTTTAGTATATTAGCCTATTTAGCTATAAGAGAAATATATCACATAACAGTAATTTACAATTACTGCTTATAACTTTTTTCTATTAAAATAGAATACTGAATATAATATTATTGTATATATATTTAAAAAAATGAATTTTTTTAGTATATTAGCCTATTTAGCTATAAGAGAAATATATCACATAACAGTAAATATCAAATTTACAATACAGGCTATTAATTTATAAGCATTTGTTCACTCAATCCACATTCATCGTGATTTTTCCCTATGTAAAACCAAAATATCCTCTTTCCTAAAAGCTGCTTAATGTTAATTTGATAGACTTATTTTACTCGTTAGGAGCTCTCTTCCTTCCTTATTGTACATATATTTTCTTTAATTTTCTAGCTTAAGTAAGTAGAAGTATTTAACGAGACCATGTGCTTCTATTACTTTCAATTATTTAATTATCTTTAGATAAAAAATTTCGAATACATGGATGGAACTAAGGGGATTTTCAATCTATCTCTTAATCGGTAACGTGAATGTAAATAGTTAGTAAACTTAGACATATATGCACATGATATTATGTCTTACAATGCTATTAACACTTGTGGATGAGTGATAAGCATCATCATGGATATTTAAGTACGTATTAAAAAAGAATATTGTAGATACAATATCAGGTTGCCTTTTATTTTGTATTCAATAAATATTTTTTTGTGATATATATATTGTAATTGGAATTTGTTTAATTCCCAACCTTATATTCCCGTCCATTGAATTAGATATTAATTATTAATCAATTTAGATGTGTGAACACAAACAATTGGTTTTGGGACGTTTAATTAATGCCTTTACTTATACATCAGGTTTTGGACAACGACAAGCATTCATAATAATAGGGCCCAAATATATTTTGTAAAAGAACTGCTTAACACACTCTCCTTGCTGGAATCTTTCATTTTGAGTAAGATAGAAATCCTCTTAGTTTAAATTTCTATCTGTCCTTCAACACCTTATTAGCATTAATATTATTGATATTAATTTAAGATTATTAAAATAATATATTATTTCAGCGTACAACATTAAATGCACAATTATAAGTTGAAAATATTATAAAATTGTGAAAAATATTTAACACAGATTAAATATCAAAAATATAAAAATGTTTTACAATCATATATTCAATATGTTGAATGTGTGAAATGTGTTGCCTGGTATATAGTGTTGGAAATATCTCCGGAATATTGTTGCATGTTAATAATATGTACATAATTTTATATCTTTTTGAGATCTGAAGCAAATACATACATCTATATTTTATAGCGATGGAGGAGATGGGAATGAGCAGTGAGTCTCACTTATTGGAGATATCTAAATCGACACATTTACCACGACAAGAAGCCGCATCCAATAATACTGACAATTCTCATAATACATCGTGCGGTAACATAGTCATTGTCGAGAATTCTCTTCACAACAGAAGCGCGCCCTCGTCAGTGATAGTTCCGTTTAACAGCCAAAACTCTGGCAACATTTTGCCTCTATCCAACAAACTGAAGTTCTCTCACAAATCGATGAAGACGATGCCGAAGATCACGGTTAACGCCAACAATTTACAGAGACTTCAAAAAGGGAAAGTCGTCCAAAGTATTCAAAAGAAGAACATAGTTACAAATGATATAGATGATGATCTGGGAAATATACTGGACATACCGATAATATTCGCCAAGGACGACGATAATTTAAACAACATTAACAAGATACCGATGGTAACGCAAGCGACGCCGATTAAGGAGTCTCAGGAGAGGCCCAAATTAAGCAGCACCACCAAAGTGGTTCTAATTAGCAATAAGCAAGATAAGCAGATACCAAATAAACCCGTTATATGTCCCAATATGCAAAATTTAAATCAGCTGATACTACAGACGCGATCCCAAAACAGTGGCCTCTCGATGAAGAACAGAGTGCCGATAGAAAATCGACTGGTGCAACCTACTGTAAAGTATACCAAGATCATTCTGGCGAAGAGAAGCTCGCAGCCTACTCAGCAGAACGAGAAAGGCGAACAACATATGATTGCGACAAAGATTGCGGAAAACGTAAATGCACCTAAAATCCTGACTTTCGAGAAAGACGAACACAGATATGTACAAGCACAACCTTCCAAAGTATCGATAAATTATGATGATTCTCTGACGGAAAATGTACTCGAGATCGAGGACGCTATTAAGACCAATATCATCGAACGCAAATATGTGTCTACAATCAACTCGATGTCACCGGTAACTCTCGATGATAACGACTGCGATATTTTGAACGACACGAAGCTGGAGCACGAGAAAGAATACAATTCGGAACAATCTATTTTCGACAATGCTAACGAAATACAAACATAAAATATATAAGTTTCATAAGATATATATATATGACATTAGTTCTTGATAATATATTGTGCAATACGCGAGAAGGCAACTAGAAAAGATATTATTTTAAAGGATCGGTATTAATCCCGTGTGTGTGTGTGTGTGTATGTATGCGTGCATGTATTACTTATAATTATTAATATATACATACATACATATACATATATATATATATATATATATATATATATATATATATATATATATATATATATATATATATATATATATATATATATATATATATATATATATATATATATATATATATATATATATATATATATATATATATATATATATATATATATATATATATATATATATATATATATATATATATATATATATATATATATATATATATATATATATATATATATATATATATATATATATATATATGATAAAAAATATATATTCCTAATATATATCAATTATAATAATATTTATAATATATTAATACTATAATATTAATACATTATTCATTATTATATAGATCACACACCGGTCTCTAAGCTTTAATAGTAATAATTAATACGTACTTTATTGTTACAATGAGATTATATAATGCAATCTATCCTAAGGTTTTATGTATGATATTTTATGTATTATGTAATGTAAGAGATGCATGTGCTTATATAGATTCAAAAACTTAAAAAGTATATTTATTTATTTAATTATGTGTATGTGTATAAATGCCTAATAGTATTATAAAATTCTTCCACATATATATATATATATATATGTATGATATTCGCGCTACTTTCTAAATTAACCAAAGAATTCAAAAGATGAAAAATAAGCGATATCAAATTATAGGAAAACACTGCTATTTCGTAAATTATATATCCCTAGAATGTGCCAATTTCTTTTATTTAATACTTCTTTTACATAGCTATTTCTTTTCATATGCCATGAAAAAAATAAAAAGAAACTGTGCAAAAACTGTAGAAAAATGAGTATCTAGTTAACTTATTAGCTGCTTTAAATGTTATATGGAACCGTAACTCCAAAACTAAAAATCTGGCTTTTGGAAAATCTATCATTAAAATTCTATTATTAAAACATTGAAAATGTTATGATATCAAGGGAGCAGAAAAGACATCTCACAGCCATAGAATGTAACACTTTCTAAGATCATGGATTAGTATTCATATTTAAAATATAAAAGATTACACTGGATGACATATAGATGAATTACATTTAAATAAAAATAATATAAAAATTTGCAGTTACCTATATCTCAGTCCCTAATAGAGCGTCCCCGTTTTGCGTAGTAAACATCACATATATCTTTTTGCTTAATTCGGGACCGATTTTACGTACAGCTGTGATCTATAGTGAGAACGAGATTTTAGCAGATTTATTATGTTATTAAATTGTGAGTAATGTAATTATATTATCTCTTTATTAAAATATTATGGCTTATATGAATAAATTTCACATGAATTTCATCATGTGTAAAGTAAAATTAAATCTTCATTTGTATGTATAACTAAAGATAAGAAATAGATATCGTCTATATATTATAGAGAAAAAAAATTAAAATATATGTCTAATATAATTTTATTATTTTATATATTAATTTGCTTATATGAAAAAACAAGATTAAAACTTACCGGTATGTCTTTCAATAAATTCATACCTTCATCGGGCGTACAATTTTTATAAGCCTAGAGAAAAAAAAAAAAGAATTGTATTTAACTTATATATTCATTAGACTACAAACAAACTTTTTTTTTTAGCAATATACTAGAATGAAATATTAATTGTGCAAGATTTAACAATACCTTGATCAGTTGCACTGGACTAGGATAAATCGCACATATTGCTTCTGACGTTTCCAAGCTACTTAAGTTAAATTGGCACAACTGCTGCTGCCACAATCTCTTCAATCCATTTCCATCTTTGTCTACGCGCACAGTGTTCTTATTGTCTCCCATAACATACCAGTCAAATTTATCTTCCTGACTTTCTCTCTTCTGCAATTTATATGGTATTTCCGAAATAGACTTTGTATACTGGTACACCATTAAACCTAGATCCTGTACGTTCTCGATTAATCTGCTGCTACATTTGACTACTATCTGAACTTCGGTCAGACACATCTCCAGCTGCTGTCTCGATATAATCGGGAACGTTTCAAACTGCTCCTTACTTTTCTTGTTGATTCTCGATCCTTTACTTTTAGAACTCTGATTAGTTTTCTGTTTCTTTCGATACGTGAAATACTCTTCCATGCCAAAGATAACCAGAGTCATATTGTAATTTGGTATCAGGGATTTATTGTGCGCGATGGAAGCGCAGAAAGTACCTTCCGCCACGTGTTTTACTGCTTCGTAATTGCTCCAAATCACAATAATGTATTCCTCCGTCTGTATACTTTTGTTTGTACGCACTTCATTATCTTCACCGACATAGTTCTTTTCGATTTTCCTCTGCCATGAAATACTGTTCGGAATTAACTCGGTAGTTATGTTAATTTTAATATCAGCACTTTGCAATACGCTTTCAATTTCTGTACGAAAAGCATCGATATTTCGATCAAGATTAACTTCCATAAATTTCAAGCATTCCCCGGGCTTTATATCTTTAGATTTTTTTTTCTCGATCGCCTTCAACGCCTTCTCTCTCGCCCGTTCTTGCTGACGTTTCAATCGTTCCTCCTTCAACGTCATCTTATCTTTTTTAGATGCAGCCGCTTTTCGCGAAGTCTTTTCAATCTGATTATCTTCTGAGTCGTGAGAATCGGACACGGTATGTTCCATGGATGATCCAGGATACTTGTCAGCATTTAAATTGGGAAGATCCTCTTCGCTTTGCGACGCAGAATTTTCTGCAATATCGTGACAGAATGGTACCTCCGGAAAATCGAAGACACTTGTAATATTGAAACGATGTTCTTCGTTAATTTCAAATCCATTCCCATTGCATTTGTCAATAACGGGCGACGCGGGTTCGTCCGAATCACTTAGCACGATCACACTCGACATTCTTCTTCTTCTTCCACTTTCCTGCGTGCACGTGACTTCGGATCTCAATTACTCGAAAATCAGATTGAATCGAACTTGGTTTAATCATAATTTAGATGCAGCCGCTTTTCGCGAAGTCTTTTCAATCTGATTATCTTCTGAGTCGTGAGAATCGGACACGGTATGTTCCATGGATGATCCAGGATACTTGTCAGCATTTAAATTGGGAAGATCCTCTTCGCTTTGCGACGCAGAATTTTCTGCAATATCGTGACAGAATGGTACCTCCGGAAAATCGAAGACACTTGTAATATTGAAACGATGTTTTTCAAATCTTTCAAATCCATTCCCATTGCATTTGTCAATAACGGGCGACGCGGGTTCGTCCGAATCACTTAGCACGATCACACTCGACATTCTTCTTCTTCTTCTTCCACTTTCCTGCGTGCACGTGAGTTCGGATCTCAATTACTCGAAAATCAGATTGAATCGAACTTGGTTTAATCATAAGCAACATTCGCGAAAGAAACTTTTTCAAATAACGACGTGTTTTCGTTTCAATTCGATAACCATCAACACTTGCCACGTGCATCAGCTGTTGCTGTCGCACATGCTCCTCAATCCAACTTAATCCAACCCAACCTTCCTTTACATTTTACATATTGAAAGGTATGTTCGTATTTCGTGTTATTCTGCACTGATTTTCAAATTTTTTGCTTTCTCTCTTTCCGTCTTTCCAAAATATCCGAATATATATTATACGTATATACTAATCGTAAATTATTAATTTTATTATTTTTATTAACTATTATATATTTTTCGCTAGCATGAATCGAGATCCTCGAGATATCGAGATCGTCGATGTAACGCAATTAATTATACAGCAATCAAAAAGGCGCGCAGGGCGAAGTGTAGAACGAGAAATGAAAACGTTCGAAAACTGACAAACGAAATTCCACTTTGCTCGAGAACGAGAGAATTTCTTCTTTTTCCCGTTCTTTAACTGTACGATATAATAGTAATAGAGGCAGCTAATGAAAGCGAACTATAAATAGGTGTTTCATATCCTGTATAATTTCGAAGCGAAATAGAGCGGATACATAATAGGTTATACTGTACGAAAACTGTACGTGCACAGTGAATAAGTTATCGCATTCGAAGTGATTAAACTCAAGAGTGACGTATAGATTGTCGCTTATCGAAGTGCGAAATTAGTTATCCTTTAGGATGGATCCATCTTCGTGCGATTCGTCAGTGGAAATAAAAATAGAAAATGAGGACGACGAACTGTTCGACACAATTATATGTATGAATAATAAAGACATCTTCGAATCGAAACAGAATGGTACGAAAAAAGAAGATGATTTAGACAATAATACTTGGGATGAAGATGTAATAAATGCAAAAGTTTACGAGAACGCGCAAAACTATGAAGACTGGAATGCACAAAGTGACGATACTCGAACGGAGCATAAAAAAAGTGAGAACAACATTAGGTATATAGAGTACAAAGATAATGTAAAGAATAAGCCGGAGAATTCGCATATGCTGCGCAAGAGAGCGAGGCAAGACAGTATGGATAATGAGGATGCTAAGGTATCTCGTCCCAGACGTTACTCTACTGACTCGAGCTCGACCACGAATTCGTCAGAGAGTGGTAAAAAGCACATAGAGTTCGAGACAGATCCAATTGTATTAGCGCGCAGGCAAAAGGAAATAGATTATGGCAAAAACACTATCGGATACGACAGATACATTCAGCTGGTCCCTAAGTGAGTGTTGGGATACAATTTCCATTTCTATATAGATAACTTAGGACAAGTTAAATTCATATGAGATTAGAAAAGGAAAGAATCTATTCTGTGATTTAATGTGTTTTATGTTGAACAAAATATTATGATATATATTTATTTTTGTTTCAGAGAGAATCGTACACGGGAACATCCAAGGACACCACCAAAATATATAAAATACAGCAGGAGAGGCTGGGATGGTATGGTGAAATTGTGGCGAAAACAACTACACTCTTGGGATCCTCCTCAAGAGAATGACAAGGCTGATTAAAACACTAAAGTCATTTCAATAAAATACTGCCAATCATTTCTTTAATTTATATTGCAATTGCGTTATTTTTTTTAATTTGCTTATGCTGTTTGTTCAGCACATATCGCTTCTAGAGTGTTTAAAACAACTTACAATATATTTTTTGTGTTAATATAAATAATTATATAATAATTAAATAATGTAGAAATTATACAAAACAATATTTTTATGTTTCCATTTACATATGTGATTTTGTTTCATAGCATTTTGATATTGTATATCAATAATATATGTATATTAATGTCTTTTGGAGCAGTGTTTACAAATTTCCATCGCCACATGAATAAGTTGAATTCATACCAATATCATATATGAATTATACAAATTAGAAATATTTGCCAACTAAAAATTGTGCAATGTTTTATATACGGTTTTGATACAAGATATGGAGACAGTATAATAATATACATGATATATAAAATTATCCTTATCTAATAAAAAAATCTCACAAAAAAACGAATTTCATATTTTGTTAAAATAGTTCAGATGTCTTTTACTTAGATAAATTAAAGGACAAATTGATAATGAATATATTATTTATTTCATGTTTTTATAAATCTTATTAAATAATTATTAAATATATTACTCTCCTATTCTCTCCTATTCTACTTTGTATGTGTTTTCTGTTTTATTAAATATCAAAAATTAATTTTAACAGAAAACATTTACTTTAATTTGAATGCTTCAAGTCTTTCTAAAATGGCATTCAATTTCTGATTAGTACTAACTTCCATCTCGTCTATTCTTTCCATCAATTTATTCTCCATATCATAGAATTTATTATCGATATAGGTTATAATATCTATGTCAGATTTTTTACTATCTTCACCACAGTTTGAATAGTCTTTTTTACTGACTTGTCTTACATTTTTGCTTTCGAAAGAATTTAGCTTTCCATGCTCACTTCTATTAATTGAACATTCTTTTTCACTATCTGCTCTTCCATTCATACTTTTATATCCAAGATACTCTGAGTTCGAAGCAAGAGTTTTCAGATTTTCCTCATCATTATTCACAATCTTTTGTTTATTATAATATCCAAGCATTCTTATTGCTATTTCAGCTTCCTGATTCATATTGCCATTGCTGTTACTGAGAAAAGTCTGAATAAAGTCTTTATAATCAAAAGTACCTGATTTTGCCTCTTTTATAGACTCCATTTTACTATTCATGCAAGTTGCAATATCCATATCTGATTTCTTAAAATCTTCTTCACAATTTGAACATTCGTTTTCATTGTCTCTCTTTTCAATTTCACTTTGACATTTGACAGAATTTGACTTTTCGTAACTATCCTCACAGTTTAAACAGTTTTTGTCTCTTCTAATTCCATTTTTACATTCAGAATACTCAGAATTTGAAGCAAGATTTCCCAAATTTTTCTGACAAGGCTGTGTCTTATTCACAGTTTCTTGTTTATCATAATAGCCAAGTAGTTTCATTGCCATTTCAGCCCCCTGACTCACTTTGCCGTTGCAATTACTAAGAAAAGTCTGAATAATATCAGGATTAAAGGCATTGGGTTTCGCCTCTTTTATAGAGTCTATCAAAAACAATTTTATACCATATATCCACATGCTAGAGCTTTTATTTTTTGTTCTGGTAAACTAAAGCAGATATAAAATTATTACATCAAATGTTAAAACAAAATATTGATGTATAAATTATACA